GTAAGCCCACCTCTCCAGACTCTGCATTTGGACGTCCAAAACACATTTGTGCTAGAACAAAACACGTTCGAAACTTATTAAAAAACAAATTTGAAGTAGACTTATTGTTTGTAACAGTCGTTAGCCGCGGATACAGAAGTTTAGAATTGTTGTTGTGTGAACTACATTTGTTTTTACAGTTCTGAGAGGAAAATAGTCTTCATACTCACTCGAAAATACATTAGTGTTATGGAACGTATCACTGCTCACCAACGGTTCATTTAACGACGCTTTACGTAGGATAGGTCACCTAACGCCAAGCGATAGAATAAAAGTTAATTAGAGTGTGGAATAAGGCAGTAATGGCCTGTTTTACAGCACTGTGCTAACACTTGTTTGAAGAAAATAAGAACACCAACAAATTCTCTGTCAGTATAGACAATGTGTGGAACAAGTTTCGAACCAGAGACCTTCCGAACAGGAAGAAGAGGTATAAGCTAATTCCATGAAGCATACCTTCCAGAATTCTCGCCATCTACGGGACCTGTGGTTTCGTTATCGTATACTTAAAACTTGCCCGTGTCCTGACACACGTTCATCCAGTCCACACCACTCCATATTTCTCTAAGCCCCATTTTAATATTTGACTTCTGTCTAGACCTAGTCTGCCAGGTAGTCCATGTACTTCTGGTGTTCGCAACTACAATTTTGTAATTCATTTCTTATCTCTATGCGTGCTACAAGCCCCGCCTACCTCATTCGCCTTGATATCACATCAATATTTGGTGAAAATTAAAATAAACTCTTTATTTCGTAATTATTCATCCTCTTGTCACTTCCTCTACATTGGGTATTAATCTGTTTCTAACATATTGGCGAATATAACTTTGATCTTTTACTGTAGTTCCAAAGTATTTTAACTTTGCGACATTTGCGAAGGATTCATTAGACCTCAATATCGCCCTGTATTCTGGCAACGTCGCTTAGTTTTCTAAAAATTTGCCAATTACAATATTGGTACTTATAACTTTCTATGGTATCTATGTTTGAAGTTACAATGACTAAATTTAAACCCCATCGATTTTGTTATCTGTTCTTAATGCTGAATTTTAGGTCAAAAATTAAAAGCAAAGATCATAAAGCGTATTTTCCTTTCAAGAAATTCTTCCAACAAACGTTAACTATATCGACTTTTCTGCAGGTTCTTTTATACTCATTAAAATTAGCATAATCAAATTTTAAACAGAGAAACGTTATTTACTGCAAACCTTACAAAAATCGAAAGCTCCGAATGGGACTCTAAACTAATATTTCAACATACATAAATATTTCAAAAGGCATTTTTGAGAAAGCAGCGTCAGAAGGGTCAAATCGTTGAGCTTCCAGTCCAAGCAAGCTAAATCATCGATTGTTCGTTCCTACAGTGTCGACGAATTCCTATCGACTCTTCTGTTACTCTTCATTCGACGTATGCGCAGAACTAATTGCAGGATGTCTGATAACCTGACGGGGCGTTAGGGGTGCTCAGTAGTAGCCTGGTACACTGGGAAAAGTAAATAAACGATTCGAAACACATAAAGTAGCTGGGATAATATTAAGGTACGTTTAGGGAAATACGACGTAGATATGACGACTGAACTAAACTTTCTCAGAATTAAGTCCAGTGGCGAGTTCTTTTGAACAAGGCAATGCAGCTGTGGGTTCCATGACAGCTGAGAATTTATTAAACAGACCTTGAGCTGTGAAGTTAGACGCTTTCAGTAGCTGCCTATTGTCTTCAGCCGTGAACACAAGGAGAGCCACTGCACCCAAGGTCCAACACTCTACTGGAGCATCAATTTCAATCAATATCATGTCCTCTGCGTCCAGCACTTTGCGACCGTCGTACAAAATATGATTAATTGGATGGCTCTGTTAATAGCACTCAGGATATAATGAATGTTCAAATTAGATTTTCTTTCGAGGTTCGTTCTTATAGTCCCAATTATTGCAACTTGTAAGGCCGACAAGGCCTCCAATTTAAAGGTACGAGAAATAACTTATGGAAAGATGCTCATGCACGTGGAAGTATAATTCTCAACGCGAAGATGGTTGTCTTCGAGGCGGTTTTAACGTGTGTCATTAGGGCGATGAATGGATGCAGTAATCGCCTCTGAAACGTCGGTAAACTTCTACCAGACTACACGGCGAAACGATCCAGAAGACAGGCATCTTTGAGCTCACACGGAGTTCATTATGCGTTTTAGACATTTAAGTATAGTTCGTTAAAATTGACAATGACGGCCATTTTTGTTCTGTTCTGCATTCTAGGTAGCTTCAATATTTATACACTTTCAACAAACCAATTCACACTAAAAAAATGCAGACACTTTAGTGTGTAATTGTTAAAACGGTATTCATAATTCACATGCCCTTAGAATATCATAATTAAATAAAGAAGAATTAGATTTATGTTTAATGTAGCCCGTGTGGGACGACAATAAGAAATGTACATGTTCTAGTAGCAAAACCTGAACAAACTGATCATTTGGAAGACCAAGAAGCCATCTGCTTTCGAAAACGGACAGACAGTCAGACAAAACCTCCACAACTGAGTTTACGTTATTTCCTTTCGTTTCAAATACATAATTACGGAAACTCGACACTAAACGTCGATCAGGAGTAATCAAATGTAAACCATGCAAATGACTTACAAAGAGCAGGGCCGGTGATGTTAAAGGGGCTCTGCGAATTTAAAGGTGCACGTAATTTTATTAACGACGCTGCATCAACGTGACTATGGTGTTTTCGAGTGGACAACGCGACGTATTCTTGATAATACAGCTCTACGTGTTTTGTGTCCCGGACGACGAGGACGAGTGTACGTCGTGTACAAGAACAAAGCATCCTTCCAGCGGAAATCCGGTTACCCTCGAGGGCCATAGTCGGAGAACTCCAGAGTATCATTTCACTTTCCTCTCTATCCTTGCGCCCCTCACCATATTTCTGGTGTACAGTCAACACCACAATACCCACGTCAATCTCCGACTGCCTTGAGCTCAGCTGACCAGTAAATCCTCCGCTTTTTATAAATTAATTACCGCGTTAAAACGAGCTCGCACTTAATCTAGTCCACACTCTCTACCCTATTTATTGAAGACCCAATTTAATATTACCTTCTTATTAAAGCACGTCCCTCAAATGATCTCTTCCCTTCGGGTTTACTGATCAATGTTCTGTGTGCATTTCTCTACATGTCCCGCTCAACGGATATTTCACTACCAGTTAACCTGAACGCACTCATAACTGACACCAAGTTGCGACATACCAGTACTCTTTCCTCTACTTGACAACACTGTATCAACTGCATATGTTATGCGGAATCGAAATACAGAATGTAAATTAATGGCAAATATTGATTTAATTGAACGAACGGTCACTAACTGATTGTTTCAGTTTATTCAACGAAATGACGAAACTCTGATGGTTACATATAAACAGTGTGAAACGTAGACGATAAATTGTATTTATTTATTGCTTATTTATCGACGCTTTCGATAGCCCATGGCATTTGTCTTAAGGAGACTGTAGAAAAATCCTGCCAAATAACCGATCTTCGTAATGAGATATGGGTATATTGGTCCTCAAATTGTTAAACGTGGCGGGAGACTGAAGTGTAGTCAGTATGAAAACGCATGTAAAATTAATATTATATGATTGTATGCATGCATAAGATATGTTAATATTATTATTTAAACTACTTTATTTTTTATTATTTAATGGTCTTCTGGAAGACAGCACCCTATGGGCTTGCATCAAATAATCGTACTGATTCAATTTTAATCCCTGCGTATTTCAATGATGAACACTATGGAACCCAGCATATTTAACGAGTACGAGAATGATGTTTAATAGAAGTTCCTTTCAGGAATAATTAATAAACTTTTGATCGCTGAATGAGGTAGTACGTATAAGTCAGACGGGGAGAGTAAACGACTGTAATGTATGCAGATGGACTGCAATGACACACGCAGCCGAAATGCCAACATATGGAACCCTGATGGAAGTTTATAAACTTCATTTTCGCAGTCCCTGTTATCATGTATAAAAGAACTGAAAGCTGATTGTCGATCGAATTCAGAATACTTTCAATATTACATCTATGCTAAAACTATCGATTAAAATATACATACAGTTTCAAAAAACAGTGAGTACTCGAGAGTCGAATGGACAGCACATAAATACGCCCGAATGATCTTCGTTGACTGACATTCGAAGTCCAGCGGGAGACACACGTGGACTTTCTCGAGTGACCCTTGGTCCACTTAACAATCAGAATCCAACGGAAGACACGTGAATAAGTCCGAGCGTTCCTTGGTTCACCATCGATCGAAGAGCACCGTCAGAAGGAATCTAAGTAGCTGTCTTTTTCTGGTAATACAATTAAGAGCTGATACTCAGCAGGGAATCGGTTGGAGGTCCTCAAGGTAGAGGGCTGGAGGTGTGACGCATGGTTTAGGGAGGTTAAACGTAATTACGCAACAATATCGAGAAAGCACGGGCGATAGGAAGTGGCGAGGTGGGTTGGCAGAGGCTACAAACGAACGCACGAACGTTAATTACGTCCCGGAGAAATGCAATTACAGAACCGTATACTCCATCTTTGTCGATGTAGACTCCTCTTTCAACTATCGGGATTGTGATTACAGACATTTCGCTTGTGTTGAGCTGAATCTAGACAGCAGCTGCAACACGAAGCTCCTCCGGTCTGCTCTCCGCGACACATTTTTGCATTCTACCTTCCTTCTTTCCTATTCCTGTTCAGATAATGACTCGATAATCCTGTTATTTGACGATACTGAATCAACTTCCAACATAACAATCTCCTGGTGAATGTAACAGGCATATGAGAAGAGCCAACATGAATATAATGAGAAACGAACTCTGATCTGGAGGGAGGGAGGGGATCAGACTGTGTAAGAAAAACAAACTACACATTATACAACACAAGCAATGGCTTAAATATTAAAGACAACGAAAGATTTTATGAATCACTCGCAAACATGTATTAAAGTAACGTATAGTGACAATCGTATGTCTGTATTTCAATTTACAATTTCATTTCTGAGAGTAATTAACCGATTTATACTATTATATTTTATACTAGGGAGTACATTATCATGTTTCTTTCGAATTTAATTTTGGTCAATCAACCCGATACAACACATAAATGATGTTCAGGTGAATATATAATTTTTTAAGCCTTATTGTACAATAAGTGTTGCAGTACATAAAACTAAGCACTTAGCTACCCATTTAACTGCCCAACTAATTCCATGGCACGGATGTCTTCGAAGTGTTTTAGTGAACAGATCAACATATTCGACGTGTTTTAAGAACTTCGTTCATTACCGTGTTTACAAGCGCCCACTACTGGGCCACTTCGAGTCATATATCTCAAACTACACCACATTAACAGACGGAAACTTTAAAAATAGTATAACTTAAATTGGAAGATTTCAACAACGCCTTCGCTATTAACAGCCATTGTGTGTGTGTGTGTGTGTGTGTGTGTGTGGTTTTGGACATAAAACTGATGGCTATAGAAGGCAGTTTCTTCTGTGTTACAGAAGCACTGGGGCATTACACTGAGTAAAGAAATTATTTAATTCTCTTTTTTACTTCGGAAAAATTATTGATTATCAATTTATGAAAATACTGACTTTTATAATCAAATTGAAAAATATTTACAGCAGTAAAATACTTTTATGAAACGATTCAAGGCGATAGTTCGCCTGATTATGGTTGAACAGGCCACCTGCATGACTAAGGTGCCGGAGAAGTTGCCGCGACGTCACGGCGAGTGAAGAAATTTCGAAGTTGAATCAACTATGCGCGATAGTTTTCTATTACAGTTTCTGTGCAGTATGCTTGCGCTGGTTTGTTCGCAGAGGGAACTGTCTATGAAAGAAAATTCATGTTGGGTTTGATGGGACGGAGATTCACCGTTAATTATTCGCACATTTTCAGTTCGATTTCTATTCACTTATTTAAGTTTTCAAGCTTTTTAAAGTTGCTTTTGGTAGGGAAGCGTAATATTTATTTTTTATCATCTCCATATACTTTCAGCCTTTCGAAATTACCACTCACATCAACGTATCTATTCCTGTCTATTTAAATATGTAAGGAATACATCCTACGCTGTTGAAAAAAATGTGTTTAAATAATCATAGCATCAAACAATCCTGAATAAAATGATAGAAATACGCATTTAAGTATTACAGTTATGATCCAAATGAAACTACTCTTACGCCCATGAACTGTCGGCTTCACGTGATGCAGACACCTACCAAGCCATACCTTAAATATCGATCACACGTCACACTCAGCCTGTGACACGGTTCGCTGCTATGCATGTACATGTTTCATATGACATGCATATACATTAAGAAAATACAGAATAAAGAACAATCATTGATGAGTCAATTTTGTTAAATAAGCAGACAAACTGAAGGGCTCTTAATTTTGTCTGCGTTTGCAACAGGTTGGGTACCAATAAAAAGAAGGGGATGAAATATGTTTAGTCATTTAACTATTTAGAGTAAAGTGGTAAGTGTATATACCAAAAGCTTAAAATTAAATGTATCAGAATTTCGACATAGCCTTTACATGATTCTAAAAATTGACGCAAACTGTTTCCATACATATCCGATTGAGGTTAAATGCATTTCCTGCAGGCAGAAATTCAATTTTAAAATACGATATAGGTATAGACGAGCTTCTGTGTTTAAAGAGTTAAATACTAAGTCCCAGACACACTAAATACGTTAATTTAAAAGGATTTATCCGGCGGACAAACTCTAACCTCTAAAGACGATACAGTCCATTGCTTTAGAAACATTAAATTTTATGATTGTGGAGTTCCTGCTTTCTCCAAATTAAACCAGAGTTAAAGCTACACGTTTCATTGAAGATTGCTGTCTCCGTCATCAGGGCGATGTCATTCATTGCCCTGAAGACCTCTGAAACGTTGGTGGACATCTACCGGATTACATGGCGAAACAACCCAGAAGACAGCAATCTTCAGAATCACCGCCGTGAAAACCTCAAGCCATAAATACATTTCACTGTAAAATTATTACAAACGTATTATCAAACATAATATAAACATAATGAACATAATTTTAATTTAAGATAAATTATTAATAAATTATATTAATATCTTTTGGGTACCATACCCAAGAGATGATGTTACCGTGATAGTAAAGGCAGCTGTCCAGCACCGGATTCTGCAAGCGACGCCGCAGGTCCTCGGGTCTGCTAGAACTGGAGTAGACACGAAGTCCTACACATTGCCGCTGACATACAGAGAGATCATTTTGTGGTTCATCGAACGTGAAGGTCAGGTACGGTGAACGATAGAACTCACGCTGTTGGGCCAGGACTTCTCGAATCGGGCTGTAACTTCCATGAAACTTCGTGTAATTACAACCATACAGTTTTAAAATGTTTCGTCTGTGATCGGTAAGAAAGAACAGGGTATTTCAAAGAGACAATTTTGACCCAAAATTTGGGTTTTCTGCCTTAAATTTAACTTTTAAATACTAGTGACACGCTCATACACGTCAAGAATACATTTTATAACAAAATGAAACAAAAATAAATTAATTAATTCTGGCCATATCAGTCCCTTTATTTGTCAATGCAGAGACCTTACTGATAAATACAGTTATCGTAGCATTCATAGCAGACAATATATCATGCCTACTTATACGAAATGTTACAGAATATAAAGGCCAGTCAATTGGATTTGAGGGACTCATGACATGCTTCATAAATACAGCACATTGTCATAGTTTGCTGCTGATTGCACGCACGCAGCACTGCGGCAAACAGTCGCTCGATTATCGTCAGTGTTGGGCTGGTAGCCTACGTGTCACATTAGAATGTGCACTGCCATATACCCCGGCTGAACTTCTCCTTGGACTAGAAATGTTTCACATTCTTCTCGTTCTTATGAGGTCTTTAAAATACAAAGGCGATTCATGTTTACCAGGGCACATGAACGAATAAATATGAGATTTAAATTTGTCGATATTGAATTATAGCCTTCATTTTATTTTAATACTACTTAAGGTTTGATAAGTTAAATAATTTACTATCAATTCTGCTAAACGAATTGCCTTTGTTTGTTTCTTTCCAGTAAAGGTAAATGTAAAGAAATATTAAAAAATATATAACAGAATAATAAAATATATCCCAAGTTAATGAAATTAATAACTAAATACGAGATCAGAGAATACGATTCTATAGTTTTTAAACCTCTAATAACAAAATTATTCATAGTATTTCCATGACTAATATGTTACCTAAACCGAAGTCACACTCAGGCTGACATAGCATTTATTTAATTGTACACCCTTCTTTAAAACTTTAAGCAATATCGTGTAAATGTGACATTTGCCGAATAAATATAGCCAATCCAACACCGACAGCTGGCAGAATGACGGACACTAATATAAAGATGGAAGTACAAAAGTATGCAGTACATACAATACGCACTTACCAAAAGAAGAGTACAGAATACAGATAATACCATGGAATAATTTCACATGTTTTACATATAGATTCTGCTACATTAGTGCAACAATGTACGACACTTTCTCTGGGTGAATACAAATATATGCTTTTATATCATCCTGGAAAACTGTAAATAACAATCTGTTGGTAAATATGAATTACATTCTTCAATAACCATTATTATAAGAATATTATACAATCAACCTTATTTTAAACAGTGATCTACATATTAATGGGGTAGACATTAATATTCTACAAAAAATAACCAATTATCTGATATATATATATAATATAATGTACACGCCGTTTCGACAATTTTCTCGACTTTTGTTTTCAGCTAAATGGCTTTCACTGTCATAGATTTCGTATTACTTTCATATTTTAACATAAGGAGAGCTGGTTGGAATAAAACCCATAAAAAATTTATAGGTATAAAGTTGTGATAGCCCGACCACCAGATCACGAAGTTACCTACTAAGATGGCATTCAAAAAGTCCTAGGTTAGATTTCATCTATCCCGACTAATATTAAAATTAATACAAATATTCTAAGATAATACTAACCAATCACTGAATATGGAAACAAAGACAGTGTCCGAAGCGTCGCGTATATAAATATATCTCAGACATTGACGATGGTTAACATCATATTATAAGAATAAACTATTTTTACAAACGTTTGGAAAATCAGAGCGAAGGCATTGAAATACATTCTCAAGCCTTGATGATTTTTTAATTCAAGCACGTTAAAAAGCTTGTAAAATTACAAAAAAACAACATTTCTGTTCTTCAGTTATAATTTACCATGCAGTCTTACTTAATCTAGAAATCTCGTATTTAATGTTTAGCTTAAATAATAAGTTGTATCGTGAAACAGTTGCATACATTCATGGTCTTCCAATTCGAAGGCGGTTGTTATAAGTTGTTCACGTAGTCCTCACGCAAAGAAACTGCCATATTCACCGTCGTGAAAACCTCAAAAATCATATTAAAATTACATAACGCCTCAAAGACTATTGTAATTCGTTTAAAAGTTTGGGAGTGTAACACGTTAGATTCGAGACAAATTTCCATCGAGTAATATGCTTAAGAACAATGAAAAACGTGATCTTTCATTTGAAGATACGACAAATATAATCGACCTAACTATTTTCCACTTTCTCCGGACCCTACAAACTTCGGCTCAGAACTGTATCAAACTTTTTCTATTATATCTTACTAAGACCATTTCGCCTGATCATGGACTTGTGTCTTGTTATGACTTAACAACACACAAATAAATGAACAATGACAGTAACTTGCACGCCGCGGGGCGCCTAGTGACAACTCTGACATGACTGTGCAAGGAACAAGACAAGACAACGATAGAGCTAGCTACCTTCACATCCCTTCCATTATCTAGGGACCAGAACATTGTCTGGTATCACCTAGTGTTCACATCAATCAACATCCAACATTTGTTTGTCTGACAGAACGTATTATCTCGCAGAAGAATTTCTGAAAGAAGTAAGAAATATCTATGTTCGTAAATAATTCAAAAATCCTGACTGAATAAAACTGCCTTTTTCACTAACTCAGGTGGCAGTAATATATAAATGTAAAAACTGCATCTGTAAATACATGATTACGTAGGTAATACGCCTTAGAAACACGTACACAAAACATCATAATCGTTACGGTTCCTGGAAGGCAGAATCACCATTATATACTCACACTTTTCTCGAGTTACTTTAACTGCATTTATTTTATTTGCATTATAGGTTTCAACATAAATACATAAAATCCAAGAAAAATTAGTGTCGGAGTGTTGTCGGCCAGTCAGTCACTCTACTCTTTTTTATGTAACCACTTTGCCATGATCAGGCTATTTGGAAAAAAGGGTGGAAGGAACAACGAAGAAAAGTGTTCTAATTTATATTTGCGTCATAAATTTTTGAAACGACGATAACTGAACCACGACATTCTTCCAGTATGATTTAAAATATTATGTATATTTATAATTTATTTCTAAATTTACGGTTGAATCGAAGATTTGAATAAAATTTCGTGTTGATGTGTTTTTGTCTACAACAAACCGCGGTAACATCTTTTAGCTCTTTATCGAACCAAAGACTGCTTCATACGTAGACTTTAATAGACAGTCACGAAGGTACAAAACACTTCGATAAAACAAGTAAACAAGCATAAGAGCAGATTAGATATGAATTTACTTTCAAGGAATTTTTATGGTAAAACTGGAGTTACTAAGCTGATTGAATTCAATTATCACTTCTATTTACATTTAAGTTGATATATATATATATATATATATACGTATTTGCAACAATGCAGAAGATTAAGAAGGACAGGCGTCTAAGCTTATATTGGTCCCCGGGTTTTTGGACTGTACCGAAAAATTCCTCGGTTTATCAATCACCTGTACACGAATTCTTACAATACGAGAACTAATTATTTCGCCAAGCTCGCCCAATGACAATGTTAACCGAGAGGCCAAAATAAACAGAAAAGCTAGTGTACACACCACTGTGAAGTTTTAGCTCCTGTCACAGTTATTATGCCAACACGAACACAGCCAGTTACAAAATGCAAATTTCCTGCACTGGTATGAAAACATATACAAAATGAACAATGTTTCAACATGGTAAGAAATAAGTACTGTATAACATGCCACATTTTAAACATACTGAATATTAATACAATGACCGATAACAGTTTAGATATATAGTCTACAAGTTTAAACTGTGACATCGTGTAATCTTTACAATTTACAAGATTGCAGTCTGAACACTCGCCACTGTAAAAACCTCAAATATCATGCATAATAACATGACTTATTTGCACTTGCTCGATAACGAACCTTGTAATGAGTTGATGTACATTTACATAATCTGATGTTATCTGAATCGCACCAGACTTAGGTTATACCCTAAAACATGGTTTTGTTATTTTATAATTAAGTACTCTGTCATCGCAAATTATGCAAATGTTGAGCGACGTCTTGCAGAATGGTGAAGCAACCTTCTCGCTAAAGAATGAGACAATATATTACAAATTAAAGTATAATAACGATTATTCGACACTGTTAATGCATAATCTCACATTATTTAAACTTCGTCGAAACAATTAAAAACCAATTAAACTCATGATTACGTGCACAGTTTTATGAACTATCGATAACTTGTGAATAAAATGTGTCAGTGTTGGTGTTTTGGGTTGCAAAGCCGTATGAACTAGCAGGTAGATATCAACGTGTCGGAGGAACATACTGACTCTATCTTCAAGGCCATCCAGACAATCCACACGGCGTTGAATCACAGAATACCAACATTGATATCTTCAACACAGTGAGAACCTCAAATATCATACATGAAAAGATATCTATATAACCGTGTGTTAATTTTATCCCGTCCTAAGCATCATTCACGCTCACGGCACCGGTTATACGACGTCGCCATATGGGAAGTACAAAGCAATTCCACTTGAAACGGGTGAATAAACCAAGTCAATGTGATTTAACTGTCAGTGCATAAGTGCTCTATGACTGGCGTCGTAACCGAATTGCTTGTCCATCAGCAAGTCACTAAGAAAAACGTTCGAAACGTGTCTTGAGCATGTTTGGTCGGCTTCACACAGCGTTCTCCACGGTGAGGTTTGGACCATACGTCGGTGGCGTGATGGGTCCTGCCGCAGGTACGTACACGCCGATGCCAGATGCGTTTGAAGTTCTTATGGACAGCCTGCAGGTTTCAATACACGTTCGCTTCATCACACAATAAAACAAAGTTTCCTGTGCGGGGAAAGGGGGCACCACAAACCTTTCACACGGCGTTCTCAGCCACGATCAGCGTACTCACAGACGTGACCTTGACAGTGGACCCTCCATTT